TATCTGATTATTAAACACAAACTATTATACTTTATATAAATTAAAGATCTCTTTATTGGAGGTAATGAGGTGTCCTCATATCACAGTACCTGATATTTAAGAGCTATTGCAACCCATTAAGGTGCATGCAATGCTTGAGCAATGCAATGTTGAGCATGTGGTCTTGTTTATGTCATCTTTGGCTTTGTATACGTTGCCATACCAGCGAAGCGGCCAATCACTCTCCGCAAAGATACGACTTGGATTTCTTTGGACTTTGATCACTTTCTTCAAAAATAAGTCGACAGTCTTGTCACCCTGACCTTGTTCACAGAATCCTCAGAGAGATCTGATACCTGGGAGCTGTTATCACCGTCGTCCAAAGAACACATCAAAATGTCATGTGAGTACGCTCACATCACAATAATCCTCTTAACCAATCAGCGGCGACTCCTCTTCCTCCCACTGACGCTGGTTTAATCATGTTCGCTATCACAGGCCTTTGTTGTACATGATAGGACAGAGTGACAGGTGTAAACATGTTTTCTCCGGTTCTTTAGCTACTTGTCTTTGTCTACCTGTCTCTTTGGCATCACACCACTGCTCTGAGCTTTTCCTTCAGTCAGCTTTTTTTTTTGGTCCAGACACTGGACTGTGTTGAAAGGACTGGGACATGGTCCATTTCATTTTGAAATATGGAAGCTTGCCATCATTTATGCAGAAAGTAACCGTCAAAGTTCACAGACAGTCTTATCATTTGGGGATCAAATCCAAAACCAGACTCAAGGTAATGCAGTAAAACATTTCAATGATTGATGATCTTATCAGTAAAAATTAAAGTCCATAATAATCACTCTGGGGGATGTAGAAATTCAAATAAATTCAATTTATTTAATTGACTAAATGTTTGTATTTTTTAGTGTTGCAACACAAAGTGAATTAACAAAGAGTATGTTGGAGTCACTGATTGTTGCGTAGCTTCAGATCAATCAAACTGATGGACGTACTCTTCGACTGAAGACGTTTTGACACAGTTCGACTCTTTACCCACTGAAGGTTTTCGACTGTATGGCTGCAGCATTACAGAATACTTTACTTCAACTTTGTACCTCATTTCTTGCAAAAAAAAGAACCAAAGGGACATCACACAGCCAGTAGGAAGAGGAGGAGGAGGAGGAGGAGCAGGAGGAGGAGGGGAAGACGGTTAGTGGCGTAACTTGTCCCCTGTCTTTTTAACTTCATTCACATTTAATTGGCAAGAAGTTCTTCGGGTGATTACAAACTTCTGTAAAAATGCAGCACAGGAGCCTCAGAAATAAATACACCTTCACCTCTCCTCTATCACCCAGTCCTGTTCAGACAAAGACCAGATGAGCGTCCTTGTCCACGCCGTAGTTGCCTTTGTGCTCCTCGAACAGATTGCTGAGTTCATCCATGTAGAGCTGGTGGAGAGATTCAAGCTCCTCCGATGTTGGCTTCGGGTTTTTCTCCACCTTGATTGGCCGTCCCACTGCAGAGAGGTCAGGACAACCGTTGGAATCTGAGCACTTTAGGATTTAGACTGAGCTAAGGCTAGGTTAGCTTCTTGTTTCAAAAAGGTCAAAGTAGCGCCACCTGTGTCTCAGCAAGTTCATATGGATATATATATATATAGATAGATATATCAATATATATTATATACATCGCTTTTACAAAAGTAAAACAATACATTCTTATCAATAATGATAGAATAAGCATAAAATATTTAATTATATATCATCACATCATTATAATACACCAGAAGAAATAATTGTATATTGTGAATTATATATTGAATAGTTGACTCTTTGACAGCTTTATTATTAACTGTTGTGGGAGTAATAAATCCATTTTTACATTTATTTCTTAATCTGTTGAAGTGCTAATTTTATGTTTTTAGAAGATGAATGAAACCTTTTGTAAGGAGTGAAACGGAATCCGTTCTTCTGTAAATTCACAGACCTAAAGTATAGACAACAGTGTCAGTTCTGTTACTCACCTACTGTATTGATGGGTTTCCTGTAAGGCATGAGCCCAAAAGAGTACTGGAAAATACCACGGGCATGGAAGAGAGGCAGTGAGACCCCCATAATTCTTTGTAAATGTTCCTGTGTCCAACGAAGCCAAGTCCCTCTTGAGTTTTCCACCTGATCAAACACTTCATTTTCCCCAAAGGAATACACTGGGACCAAATGAGCCCTGCAAGGAGACCAATTGATTATGGGTTGTATTATTTATAATTGGGATTTATTTCATATCAGTTCTGGTTTAGGGCAGATTCCTGAGTCTGTGTGCTTTCCTAGGAAATTCCATAAGAACAAAATAATCAGGCCTCTGTTTGAGCACAAGACACGCCACCCTCAAGATGGATGACGACACTGACCAAGTTCTCTGAATATTACCAATGACCTCAGACTTGTGGTTGTGTTGAGGCGAGGAGTTCCTCATGTTCCTACCCATGTTCCATGGCCATCTTAATGAAGCCTTTCTTTGATGCTAACATCACTTTGTAGGTCCCAGGATGAGCATCGAGGGCTTCAGGAGCGCCACCAACAGCAATCACAACAGCATTACCGCCTCTCTTTTGTCGGAGTGGATAAATGGCACTCTGTTTGTCTGAAGGAATGAGACCTGAAGTGGTGGAAAAAAATTCATCATCTATATTTTATATATATATATTTATATTTTATATATAAAGGTAGTGAAAGCCTTTACATGAGGGAAAAGTTCCAAAATATATTTTAAAAAATCATAATTTATATATATATTTTTTAATTACCAAACTAACTTTCTACATATCCTTAAATTAAGCTCTACGCTTTTGAAAGCAGTGCTTTAATATGAATTCTTAGCAACGTTTTGTCACATCAGGTCACAACCAGCGCCAAATCTTTGACGGTCGTAATTTCAAATGTTCTCTCCTGTTCCATTTAGGGTAAAAAAAAGTTTGATGTGCACAAAAAATGTATTGTTGATGGTTGAAAAAACTTGACCCTGTGAAGTATTTAAACACTGGACTAAAGTGTCCACACCTGCACACATGATGTAGTCTCTGAAGAATGGAGCTCGGAACCATAGCGGCAACATGAGCATGTAGGTGGTGAGGCCAGGAAACAGCTCCCTGAACCCGGTGGCATAGGTGCAGAAGTTAGCGAAGGCTCCGGCCACCAGCACGCCGTGAGGATGGAAGCCGATGACGTAGTTGTGTCTTGGATTCAGGTCAGCTGTCTTCACCAACTGAGGACAGTTTAAGAGTAAAGAGTTTCTGTGTCATATGTGTTATATAATCACAGGTATTTCTGTTTCACTAAAATGAAAGGACCATAAAATTGACATGTTTGTTTTCTGCAAACAGTGTCGCAATGTGCAGGTCCATCTGGCCGCAGCACAATCACGTGCGACCGGAATCCTGAGTTCAACTTTTGGCTTTGACTCTTTTTTGACTCCCTAACCTCAGAGTCTGAAGCCTCTGTACCCTGACCAACACATGTAGAGCCAGCACAGGTGAGAGAGAAGGAGGGGGGGGCACAAACTACCAAAAATTTAAATTGAAATAATTACGACCGATAGTATTGGCCGACTGATATTATATCAATATTAGGATAATTATGCAATATTGGTAAGCTCGTTATCTGTTTTTCCTCATTATGAATAACACAATGCCTGGGTTTTGCCAAATTTTCTTGAATCGCTTGAGGGTCCTGAGATGTTTACCTCAGCTTTAAAGGCAAAACGGCTGCATGTTTAGACAAAATCGGCAAAAAGTTAATATTGGACACCCCTATATACAGTACCTGTTACTATTACTGTAGGTACTACATGTTGTTTATGTTCAGTTTGCAGTAGAGAAGTGGTGTTTGTGAGCCTTCACTGATAATCAGAGGCACAAAGGGTCACTGTGGTGTTATGACCTGGAGGTTGTTTGGCAAAGTAAAAAAAACTATTAGTTTCAGAGTGTGAGACGAGTGTTTGGAGGTCGTTATCATCATTTCACACCATGTGTTCAGAACATGTCCAGTCTACTTTTTTGAATGGCCCAAATTCACACAACACATTTACTTTAATGGACTGAGAAATAACTTACAAGAAAACTACACTGCAGCAGTGGAAGCTTCAGCCTCATACAGTGCATTTTATTTATTGTTGTTTCTCTGTTCTGAATATTTTTTTCCTGTTTTTTCCAGATTTGTTGCCATTGCTTGTCAAAAGGCAAAGAAGGATTTGAGTGAACTATTTGAATTAGTCAACAGTGATATTATTGAGTTTCCACAAGGACAGTGTTGTTTTGTCTTTACTCTGGGGGCTGTTTGATCAGAGGTCGCAGAGTTAATCATTAGCTCCTCCTGTAGCATAATTTGGAAGATCTGATAAGGTGTAACCTGAAATACTCAGTGTAAACATGATTGAACTGTACTGTAGTGGGCCCTGAGAGATCATTAGATGTGCCGTGAGGAAATTATCAAATTTCACTTAATTGGGCTGAAAACTAATATTTATTTATTGTATATAATTTGTCTTTGCTCCTCAAAGCATGAAAGACAAAGTAATTAAATACTCTTCTGCTAGGTGGCAGCACATGACTATGAAAACTAAAAAAAAACAAACCAGAGCTGTTGAAGACATTGTCTTTCTTCAATTCCTGCCAGTATATCAGCCTTGTTTTCAACTAAACTGGGAAGCTGAGATTTTGTAAGTCAAAACTAGAAGATTATTATATTTCATAACACATTTTTTGTGAGATTCTTCTTTGGTGGTGTGCCGTGGGGTTTTTCATGTATATTCCAAATGAATCAACACTGTTGTCCTCTTCACATAAAATCGTTCTCTCTCTTGAAAATCATGTGAAAACGAATTAGCTGCTGATGGTGGTATTAGGAATGGTGAGAAAAGACACCAACGAAACAAATTGAGTTGCTTCAAACACACAGCGTCTCTTCACCCCTGCATTGAATCTTTGTCTGAGCCTTAATGAGGCATAGAGTCAGATGATAGAAGAAGAGAGCGGTTTGAACCAGATCTATGGGAGGGTGCTGAGCAGGAAGTGTCGTGTTGGAAAGTCATTGGAAAGTTTCATTAGGACATTTGACATAAATGTAGCGTTTCTAATTTGAGGTTGACATAATAACTACTTATAATAATAACTAACTAATAAGTACAAATAAGGGTTAGTCTGCAATAAAAAAAGTCATCGACAGATATTTGATTTGTGTCACCTGCAAAAGTGACTAATCCTACAGTCTAATTGAGGCTGTCAAAACTGTTTCGAACTAAAGTAGCTCTTTTATTTAGTAGTTCCTCTTATTTCAAATGTAAATAATTGTCTTAAGAGTATTATATGGTTTAATATGTTACTCAAAAAATTCATTAATAAATAGATCAATTTATTCATTCGTGGTTTTATGTTTTATGATGCTTACTATTGTAAATGCCTTTTTGCTGTATAGGCCTTTTAAAATTAATTGTTAATCACATTTTCTCTTCATCTCTCTCCAAAAACTGTAGAACTTTTAGAAGAATGTGTTTTTCAGATGCAACACTTTAAGACTCTGAGGCACAGACTAGAAAAACACATGATTCAGAAAAATTAGAACGAGGAAAAATGGTGTTACACTTCAGTCCCTGGACAGGTACCACCCACGCACGGCCACCAGAGAGCGACACCGGCCAGCAAAGAGAACCTGTGGCTGTGTTAAAAGCCTTTTTTTGCTTTAAAGGTACAGCAGTAACTGATAAGTCAAGTGTTATCCTTCAAAAACTACATTTTGTTTTTCTTTTCTTTCCTTTTCACACATGTGGTCTGTGACTGCAGGGAATGAGGGGACACAATTTACAACAGTCCAAGGACAAAGATAAAGGCCACTGGTCTCACTGAATGAAGCTAGAGATCGAAGATTAGATCACACAAAGTCACAGAAGGTCTTGGATCTGCTGGAGAATCTCATCAAATTAAACATGCACTCAATGAGAGCTTCATTTACTGATGTGTTCACATCTATTAAGAAACAAACAAACAAACGTAAAATATAGATAGAAGAGAGGAAAGAAGGTATGTCAGTGTGTTGCTAGATAGGTTGGTATGATAGTAGGTCGGTTGGTTTTTAAAGATGAAGGAGGTAAGTGGCGAGGTAGCCTACGGACAAAACTGTTGCTCACCTTGATGGGAAAGTAGTCGCGCATGTATTCCCAAACTTTGAGGTCACACAAGAAAGACACCCTGCGGCCTCCATGTGCCGGCGTGTCGTAGTCGAAGAACCACCAGATGGAGTAGAGCACACTGATGAGCCAGAAGCGAGTGAACAGCAGGTAGAAGAAGAGCAGGATACAGGTGGGTGCTGAGGAATGAAAAATAATCCGTGTAGTGAGTGGCAACTTTACAGCCAGTGAGAACATTAACACATGCAGCCTTGTGTCTGAACTGACGTCACACGTGAAAATCACCTTCTGTCAACCACTAATTCAGATGATGATACGCTGTGTAACAACAACAATCCACCTGGCTGCAGTATCTGACGGGGGTTCGGTGGACACTGATAACAGAGCAGTGAAACAATGTGCCCAGCGGTGTCACTGCTGTGATTATGTCACTGCTGTGATTCTCACACACACTCAACACTAACATATCAGGTGAAATGACAAAGAAAATATGTTTAGTCTTCAGTCATGTACCATAAAACTAATAGGATCTGATGAAACACACTTCAGCTGTCAGACATGCTGAACACCTGCTGAAGTCATTGTGCATGAGCAACAATTTCAACACGAGTAAAGTAAATCTACAGAAACCTTCTCTTCTATAAGCCTGGACACAGTAACTGTCAACTCAAAGTGTTGATTCACCGGCTGAAAACAGAAGGCTTACTTTATAAATTTCATTGCTCAGCAAAATACTACATGTGGTCATCTTATATCTCACCCAGAGCAAGGAAGGAGTAGACCCACTGCAGCACCGTGGCCGTCTGTAGTCTCCTGTGCAGGGGCACATCCATGGGGGCAAACTGGACCTTCATGTTTCCATGAGGGAAGAGCACCAGCTGAGGCTCTGCAGCCTGTGGCGAAGAGAAAAGAAGGAGAACGAAGTGGGTTCAAAGTCTGACCTTATCACTACTCTGCCGGTGCATCTGACTGGCTGTCTTATCTCAGAAACTCAATGAAGGGATTGATCTGACAAAGCATATCTACCACATCGGCTTTTTGACCCTAACCCAGGTGAAACATAAAGTACAGTATTCAGGCAGCTAGAAACAAGTAGTGCAATGTAACATTACATGCAAAGTTTAAACAATTCAAAGGTTAATTGTGTATAGTAGTTGTATACCATGTAAGGTTTGTTTTGGCTGATTTTGATATATTTGAAGTGAGGTTGAGCAACGTGTTGGTCTGCAGAATCATAAAGGCCAGTGGTTGAGTTGATAAGATTTGGAACACTCTTCTTATCACAGAAGACAACTACAGTACCTGTGTATAAATCTTCTTGAAACTATTTGGATATGAACCAGTGGGTAACACTCACGTGGTTTTATTAGTAACCAGTATTAAAATATTTTACAGTCTGAAAAAAAGTCTTCACTTGTTTATTCTGTATATAACTGTAATGCGCAACAAAACCACTTGGGGGCAGTATTGCGTACGTTTTTAACAATCTTTATAGTATGGTCAGAAATGGTGCATAAAATGAATTTCGTTTGAGTCAGCAGTATTTTTTTATTCTATTTGAGTACGTTTTTCTTCTTGTTTTCTCACTTTACTTGTCTAAAGTCCCACGCATTGTGGGGCTTTTATTTTGACATGGTTGTCTGTACGCTTCGACCGTCACCTAATGGTCCTTTCACTATAAGCCGGATGTAGTTCAACATCCTCATCCTCCTCATCAGTCTGCGGGATGCTGAGCAGGAGGGCGGGGCTGCTCTGTTTCTTAGTGCGCCTCTGCTGTGGGCTGATGTAGAGTGGACCAGGTCAGAGGACACACAGATGAAGCAGAACTTCGTCATCATATCAGTACTGTTGTTTTTGTTTTATTAATTTAATTTCTAATAATTCAGCAGTCATGGATTTACCACGCATCTAAAGAATACCGATTCGACGTCGACTGTTACTGGGACCAAATCCGTGCAGCATCCTGACGCACGGACATCTTGTCTCACCCCGACAGCGCACTGTTTACCCCCCTGTTATTTCCCTGCTGCTGGTTCTGGTTGGGTCCACTGTAGCGGAGCTGTCGGAAGCGCAGCATGGCGTGGCCCTGTATTAGCAGGGCGTGCTGCATGGCCCGCTTCTGGAACCAGCTGGACAAGGCTGACATTGCGGTGCCTATGGTCTTCACCAAGTACGGGGACGCCTCAGAGGTGCAGCGCATCCAGCTGCCACCACCACCTCCTCAGGCCCGCGTCGCCATCGAAACGCAGCCTTCTCCCGCACGGACCCGCACCGCCACCGTCGAGGGTGTCGCGCGTCCGCCGCGTAGATGCGTCTCTGAGGAGCGTGTGTGCAGCTCGGTGATGCGGGAGGACTTTAGGCACTGGAGAGTGCGACCGGAACCGAGCTGTAAACCCAAGAACGAGTACCACGAACCGGAAACTCCATTCAACACTGAGACCCAGTACCAGAAGGACTTCAAGCCCTGGCCCATCCCCAAAAGGTACGACCATCCCTGGATACTTAAACCGCCTCCGGCCACCTCAAGTGGAGAAGCACCGGGCAGACCCAGGCGAGGGAAAAAACAAGCGGCGCTGACAGAGGCCGAGAGCGGAGTGGAGAAGAGCGCTATAGCCGACAAGGTGCAGGAGAAGGACCTGCTGCAGGGTCAGGACAGGGAGGGTCGGTCCAGCAAACAGCAACATCACCAGGTGGAGAGAAGAGGCAGAGCGGCCGTGGATGCTGTGAACAGGCAGATCAAGGAGGAGATCACAACCGGCTCCTCATACAGGTGAGTCCATAAGCTGAGGCCCCAGAGAGAGCCCGGGGGGAGGAGGGGTGTGTGTGTGTGTGCGGGTGAGGGGGGGCGGGGAGGTCATCAAAACAAATGATCACAGCCGTCTGTTGTCACTGGTTTTTGATAAAACATGACCACTGCATTCAGAACATAAACACATTTACAAGATGCACCAGATCCACAGCTAGACCAGATCCACAGCTAGACCAGATCCACAGCTAGACCCGAGGTTTTCAGGCCATGACGGGACAGTACTGGATCACCTACTATGAATACTACATCTAATATTGTGTGTTCTGTGAGTTAGTATAGGGCCATATAGAATCTCTACTTGTTGTTTTGCATTGAAATCTAAGCCATTTCAGCAACACGCAGATCCACAAACTGTACACATCATCATCATGTTTTTTTAAATTCATAATAATCTAAAAACACAAGCCACCCTTCGTAATTGGAACCCCACTATCAGGCTGTCCAGTTGCAGATTATATATGGTATATATACAATTATCCTACAATGAATAAACACAAATAGTTTTAATACTGTTTAGATTTTAACAACATGCTTCTATAGAGTAGTGGTTCGAATGCCTGCCTTACAAGCACACAGCAGACACAACGGAGTGTTTGATTCCCAGAAGAACTACATATCCCTAATGGTGTCACCACTGTTAAACTTATTTAAACCTTTGTTTACATCTATAATAACATAAGAGAGTCCAAACTGAGACCAAACTGTATCATTTAGAAACGCTTCACCAATGTTGGAGATGAGATTTGTCCATTGTAATGTGTTGAACTTTCACAGAAACTCGCCCCTGAAACCAGTGTAGAGTCGAGGCCTCTCCCTGTGACCAGTACAGTCTGCAATCACTACCTTATACGTTGACTTTGTTTATAACATGATACAATAAATAACATAACACTTATATACCTTTCCATAGGAGTGAATATTTGTGACAGAATTCATAATAATTTCATTTGATTTCACCTTTTGTCAGTGCTGTAGTACCGGAGGACTCTGTGTTGTACTTGCCCCCAGGTACTGATGATTCTAAATGACTCTCCAATTTGAAGTTTGACAGTGAAATGTAAGGTTTATCAGTAATGTCCCTTTAATTTGAGGCAGCGCTAAGGTTGGTTCATTGAGTTTGCGAAGTTTCTGACAAACTAAATCTTATCCAGCGTGTGTTGCCTTGGTAATGAACAGCCCTAATTATTAGAATTACTAACTATTATTATTAGTAAGGGTGTATAATCATGTCAGCTCAATCAACAATGACATAATTTAATTACAAGCCAAGGTCAGAATTTGGGATTTGGACATATTTCTCTTTAAAGAAACTCTCAGTGTTGTAACAATTACTGTATGCTTCCTTATTCCTTTATATATATGGAAATATATACATTAAAATAACTTAAATACAGCTATAAAAAGTAGTAGTAGCTGCTGAAATACAGCTATAAAAAGTAGTAGTAGCAGTTATCATGACAAATAATATTATAAAATATATTGCAAGTCAGGGTGTTCTATCAATGCTGTAAGGAAGGGGTTAACTGTTTACAGGTATAAACTTGTTGTGTTTGTTATGAGCAGAACACGGAACTCGTTCCCTGCCATTTAGAAATGCATTCACTCTTTCTGTGTGTTCAGTAATAATGAAATAATCATGAGTTGCAGCTACAGATGAGGCACTGCTAAATGTAGAAATTAATGGTGTGTGTGTGTGTGTGTGTGAGACCAGTGAGTCATTGTTTGGTGCCATGCTGTCACAGCTGTTTTGGCGAGTGCTAAGACACACACACATGCACACACACACTGTGATGTGCAGCTGCCGAGTCCACCCACTGACCTCTGTCTTAGAATACACACATCAGGTCTGCTGACGTAGAATACCTTAGACACGTATGTGCACACGTATGCTTATGTGTGAAGATCATACAAATATGCATCCTGGCATACGTCGATGTACACGTTATACACAACAGCACAGCTGCAATCTGATAGGTCAGTGTGAAAATCAGCTGAGTTTGTAGTTTGGCCACTCATACACGGTCAGTCATTGTCCCTACAACAAGGTCACACCATAGGTACTAGTGTATGCTTGGTTGACAGTTTGGTCACCTGTCCAGTACAAATACAACAGTAGTCACAACAAGGAGAGAATGTTTTTGAATTTTTACTTTGGAGTAACAAAGTGCAGTGTGCTGGTTCGTTGAATCTCTGCCTCAGCGGCAGCAGAGGACAGGGATGAGAGCAGACGATCCCAGGAGAAGGTACTGACCAGTAGGGCTGGCTACACACCCACTGACACAACACAAAACACTGAGTGCTGCGTTGTGCATGTGTGGGCAGATGGTCCGGGGGTGAAACACTAAGGGGAGTGGGCCAGCACTTGTTCTCAGGCCAAGACTGTTGTAGGATCAAAGCTAAATCCACTGTGGTCCATTTACTCCATTGCACAGTCAAACACAACAAAGTGTCGCAGAAAAAGGCAGTGTACTACAATACAGAGCAGCAGGTACACAACACATGGACTTTAATGTTCTGGTGCTGTACTGCTGCTGAAGAGAATAATCAATCAATCTATCATCCATCCATCCATCCATCCATCCATCCATCCATCCATCCATCCATACCAGTATTACTTTACTACTCAGTCAGCTTGTTGTATCAAAAAAATAATACGGTACACAGAAAAACTACTACACCCTATCAAGTAACATATGCATATAGAGTTTGCGTCTTCTCCTATGATTTGAAATAAGATGTCAATTTGCATCACAGGGTTATTATCGCCACCTACTGTTAAAGAAGTGAAAATAGTCAAGACTGTGGTGATTTTTTTTTCTCAACTTTTTGTTTTTGCCTTGGCCGGCGACCCAAAATATGATAAAATAGCTCCAGTAACGTCCCTCCACTGAACTGCAGCCACAAAAGAGTTGGTTAACTCTGTGTTTTCAGCAAGTACCAAGTACACACTGACCTCTGAGACACACGCCTTATTGTGACACAGTCATATGTTCATGAATAGCCGCTATCTCAGGTTGGAGCCCCGTGTTTCACAATGTGAACCCTGTCTAAACCCCACACTCCGTCTCCGTCGGTGTCAAAGACACTCACCCTGTGGTGTCGAGTGAAGCCCGGCTTTGGACGTACAGTAGTTATGTAACCTCTGCTCTCTGTGGCTTCTCGGTCCAGTTAATTACTCTACATGGACTTTGGCTCTAAGGCAGTGGCTGAGCTGGAGATGTTCACCTTCTCTAACCACCAACTGGGATGTTTTTGTACCATGAAAAATCCTTGTTCAAAAATCCTTGCCATAAAGCCTACCACTAATTTGTTGTTGTTTACTTCCTGTTTACTTTTCTATGACCCCCACCCCCGACCCCACCTCTGAAGGTCAGAATCCAGCGTACAGGCTGCAGTGGGTACTGCAGGCCACAGTCTCAGAGCCTCCTTCTCCTCACTGTAACTGGATGTTAAAATCAATGTGCCTGTCCCTGCCACATACATTAGATCACACAGGATCACATGACTGTTTCAGTGGCCGACTTATTGATTTAATATTCCATTGTACTTGATATTTTAATCTAATGAGTCTTTAGCCTGATCTGCCCTCTTCTGTACACACAGCCCACAGCTAGCCTCACCTTCCTTCTTCTCCTCACACACACACACAGACTGGAGACGTTCCACTGAGACCTGGCTGCATGACTTGGCTCTGGGTGTGTGCACTGGACCGGGTTGTGTTGAGGGCACAAGAGTTTCAAAAACATATGGTATACCAGCGGGAAATGCAGTACTAGGGAGACTCTTCAGGTGTTGGTAATTTATTCACAATGATCAAAGTTACAACACTCACTGGCTTGCAGGAACAAGGAACTTAGAACAAGAAGTGCAGGAACGAAGAGCTATCTAAAAATCCCGAGCATCTAAATCCCAGTTGCTGGTATTTAAATTGCAAAGTGACATTTTGCTAAACCATTTAGCTGAAACTTGATGCGTCATTGTTTTACAAATAATACGTAGATTGATTTATCATCGCATAACGGTGGCCCCACAAAAAAATATGTAAAGCGCAGCTGTTCATTAAATAGTTGGCAAGAGAATACAGAATACTGCAGAAGAAAATGTAGAGTTCAGTAAGAGAGAATAAGAGAGAGAGAGAGAGAGAGAGAGAGAGGGAACGTTACCAGGCAGCTGCTGTGTTCTTTCCTTCCGTGCTGCACATCTCAAGGTTATCAAATGTGAGGAGGCAAAATCGCAGCGCATGCTGTGTGTGAAAACTAGCCTCCAGTCCTCACTGACATCCTAGTCAAGGTCTACACTAAACCCAAAGGTGACGGAGCTGTTGTTGTCAGAGCTTCTTCACTTTGAAACACCCCAGTGGAGGAGAGAGGAGAATGTGTGAAAGCCACTCTGACTGACTGTTCCATCTTTTACCTGCCTGTGCATCGCTTCCATGAAAAGGGCAGTTTTGTGCATTTTTTCCAATTAGCCGACACAGTGAGAAAAAAGATGATGATGCTGCACAATATTAGCCAACTGAAGTTGAGCTCCAAGAAGGTGTGATCATTAAATATGAAAAAGAAGAAGAAAAAATTGAGAAGAATATTCTAGAGCAGGCGTGGGCAAGCTTAAAAACTTAAAAGCTAAAATGCTTTTAGCATTTACTGCGCCATCTATTCGTGAAACGTGGTAATGGTAATATAAATAAATTATATAATTTGGAAACATTTGGCAGGCCGGAATAAAAAACTGAACGGGCCGTGTCCGGCCCCCGGCCCATAGTTTGCCCATGCCTGTTATAATCTGAATAAATTAGTCACGTATATGATTGGGTTTATTACACTTTAGTAAATCAAATGTTAATGAATGTTGGGTTTGAGACACAGGGACCTCTCGTCTAAGAACTGTTTTCTGTTCCTCACAGGACTGAATACAAGGCCTACAAAGATGTAAAACCAACCAAAATGATCAGAGCCAAGTCCCAGTACCTGCCCCCAGATGGGAAGACCAGCCTGGAGACCAGCTACAACGCCACATTCAAGGGCCAGCAGGCTCCTCTGCAGTCGGCTGACAACAAGGCCCTGGAGCGGAGGAGGATACGCAGTTTGCCTTACATAGACCCATTCAGACAGGTGAGGAGGTGAAAGGTGAACTTAACGGTGAAACAGGAAGGGCCTGGTCACATCAGTGTATTACAGTAATGCAATAATGTAATGCCTCACAGTTTCAGAACAATCATCTATGATCATCTCAGCAATCTTATTTCCACTATCCGACATCCTTAGGTTGACAGATATAGTGTCCCCCGCTCTAAACCCAAAAAGTCTGGAGCCACGGCAGCAGGCCAGGGCAAGCCGGCGAAGAAAGCCAAAGATAAGCAGAGCGGTGGGCTGAGGGGCTCCAAGAAGACCACCTCCGAGAACTTGCCAGAGAACCGGCCGGCAGCGGTGGGGGACAAGGAGAAAAGTAAAGAGATGAACAACAAACTGGCTGAGGCGAAAGAGTAAAAAACATTTAGCACTACTTCTTTTTTTGTTTCTCATGATTTGGGGGCAAACCAGACACAGAGGCTGCAAAATGATTTGATGTTTGATGTCACGTCTGTCCCCTCCGTCCTCTCCCCTCCTTCTTTTGACCTTTCCTCAGTCTCTTCACATCACTTTTCCTTCCTTCCGTGCTCTGTGACACTGCTGCTTCCTCTGGCTCACCGTGATGGATGATTAAGATGTCAACATGACATACAGTATCATCGCTGCCTCACTCCATACTAGAGCCATACTATGGCCTATACACTGGGAGTACACTCCTGCTCCACCATTTGATACCACCCTCCACCACCACCACTCTGCTCGCTTCCATCTCAAGGTTCCCATGGTTACCGGCTGCCTGGTTAGCCAATGGATGGCTGTTGTTGTATGGTTCCACGAACGAGCAAATCTGACAGGCTGGCTTTCATCAGCTGAGCAGATTGAGGGTTTTGTTTTGTTTTCTTTTACTTTATTAAGAAATGGTTTCTGGATTTTTGAACAAACAAATGCAGCAAATCTGAATCTGAAAGTCTTTGATAAACAACATGCTTGGTCGGCCATGGGTGTCTGATCCTCAGCTTGTGTACCTGCTCTGTCATCAGTGCTTCATTTGCTTCTCTGCTCATGCAGAGCTTTTTACACCTGACTGAATTCAATTGTGCATCATTTATAAACAAACCCCTGCTGCGGGTTAAATACTGGTCATTGTTGCAGGCTGTTATTTTGGAGACAGAAAAACTTTTTGTTTACTGAAGGCAATTTGGTCATTTTGAGTTTATTGCCAACAAACTGTGTGAGTCACAGTTGATTATTAATGTGTGTAACGCCAGGCGTGTGGGTTGAAGATGAGGATGAAGATGCTCGTTTAGACAGACACTGTTATGTTGTCATGGTGACATACTGTGTTAGAGCAACAACGGTTTGCATTGATCTGTCAGTTTGTACAGCCATACAGTAAGTCACTAGCAAGACTGAGAACCACCACACACACACACACACACACACACACACAATTGTATTAATTAATTAATCAATCAAATAATGTATCATATCCATCTGGTCTGGCGGACCTTTGCCCGCGACTCACACTACCTCAAGAGAAAACAAACCTGTTCAGGTGCAAGAGAACCACCAGTAACAGGACAGGAAACAGCTGATGTTGACTTACGTCTAACGGTTTCATTTGTTATTCTCAAGTCACGTGAATATAAAAATCTTACACTGCTATTGAACAACAAAACAATTTGATATCCTAAACCGGTGTTTTGTTGAGAGCACGAGGAGGAGGTTGATGTGATTGGCTGGAGGTTGTGTTTTTGAACTGAAACTAAAGTCTGGCAGGTTCTTACATGTCAGCGTGTCAGGGGAGTTGGATTTTCACGACACGCTCTCACTTTTGATTTATTCTCGATAGCTTTGGTCAGGTGTGTCGAACTGAGAAGGAACGATGAAGCAAGTTGTATTGTATGTGTGTATCTATCAAACCAAGTATAACCACCCTTGTATATACAGTACTTGTATGTAAATACTTTAGCAGGGCTACATGTCGGCTGAGACTCAGAGCCCAAAAACGTCAAACGGCTTTCTCTACACAGACAGACTGGTATTAGACTAGTCTGTGTTAGCGTTAGCTCGGCTAATCTCTCCATCCTAATTGGGTGTGAGTTTTCTGTGAGTGTGAGATGGCAGAAAACTATCAGCAACACCAATGTCTGTCCAAGCATTAGAAAAAAACATCAAGAATGAGAGTCTGACTCATGAGCATTTTGCAGCCTTTGGTTTGAAAGGGGGAGGGAGGGAGGGAGGAAAGGGGAGGGGGGGTGCAGTTAATGTAAACTGTGCCTAGCACATCACACTCCTGGTGCTATATTTGTGACTTAGGTGAACAAGGATAGAAACGGTGTAGGAAGTTATGTCTTTGGGGCAAAAACTATTATTTGACTGTGACGTGCTTGTGTTTCTACCTGCTTGCTTATATTTAATGACAAGTAACAAATAAATATAAAAAGCAGAAAAAGCAGTGTCTTCTTGCTTCCTTTTTTGTTTTGAAAGAACTGTGGTCAATGATTAGTGGCTGTCAGACCAAACAAATCCACATGGAAGAGAATTTAAAAAAAAAATCTCTTTCAACTTTCTATGCTTATCCATGATGGTGGCACATTCTGGCATGAGCTCTGACATCCTCTCCAGCTCCTGCATGTTAACCTCATGTGGAAATACAAAAGAATATATTATCATTGCATCCTGTTCTAATATATTCCAAGAAATCATTCGACTTATTGAGAGTCGTGAGTGCATGTCGAAGGACGTCTACAAACTTAT